CTGATTCAACAAAATATAAGATTAAATACACCTGCATGAACAAGCAAGGGAGTTCCTATTGGGTCCATCGGCTTTCCTCCCACATCCCTATCACTCTGTAATTTTCCATATAGCAAAATTATTAACATAAATATAAATATAAACATAAATATAAATAATATAAATATAAATATAAATATGGAGAAGTGAGATATTCTCCAAATATGTCAGCTATAGAGGTTGATGCTATAATTTCTCATGTCCACATCTACTGTTAGAGAATTTAAAACAAAACTACCAAGAACAGTTTTATAATCTTGCCAGATAACTTTTTTATTTTTCCAAAGTAATGCACAGCCTGGAGCAAAAGAGCAAATTTTCTGAAGTCAGCAAACCAAGATATTGTACAAAGCTCATCGATTTGCTCTTACCACTGTTGCAAACAAGCAATGCTCAGCCATGCAAAATAACATAGCCAGTTGTCTTCTGAAGATAGGTGAGGTGATAATGTGATTTTTATTTGATCCCCAAAAGTTTTACTCTTGGACATAGCAGTCACTATTAAATGAGATGGTTTTGCCCCATCTGTCAGTCAAAGAACGATTAGCAAGTGGCTGTGGTTGATTTTGCATTCATCAAACTTTATGCTGTGTGGTGTAGACCACACTAGTATAAAGGCTTGAGGAGAAGTATGCCGGAGGCTTACCCAAGAGGAAGAATCCATTTATCCCCACTGGGCAATAAAATTTCATTTCCCATAGCTTTGCCACTCATATCCTGGCTATATAAGGTGGGCAGCCGTTGCAGATAAACTGCAGGAACTAGATACACTTAGATAGGCTGAGACACTACAGATTCATTGTGAGGTAGAATTCAATTTAGCTGTCATTATATCTGTTTATCACGGCTTAAGAAAATAGTGCCAATTGGGGAGAAATGTTGCAATGTGAAAAATATAATATACAAGACAGAGGGCAAAATTTTAGTTTTGAAGCACGAATTTAAAGAATTCATTTATTTCATTGAAATTCTACGATTAGGCACTCTTCTAGATGCTTTAGATCCATCAGGGAACAAAACAAAAACCCCCGCCCTTGTGCAGTTGACCTCACAGCATTGGAAGACAGACAAGAAAAATTAAAAACAGCATGTGAGTAATTTGTAAGTTTGTAGAATAAGATAAGCGCTAGGAAAAACTGGAGTAGGGAAAATAGAATAAAGTGAGTGACAGTGGAGTTGAAAATTGAAACAGGATAGGCAGGGTCCTCTGATTCAGTATATATTTTGATACAAATTTAAATAAAATTCTGAGATTCAGGGTTACCAAAAGTCATATTACTTTTGCTTACATAAAAACAGAGGTAAAACAAGGCAGTTGACCGCCATGCTGGTAAGGGATATATATGTTTATTAGTTTTCCTGAATTGGGATTTTTCCTGGAAAATTTTAAAACTGCCAAAGTTAACAGGCACAGAGAGACTTCGAATGTGTCCTGTGACCCAATTTTTGGAGCTGACAGTAATATATCGGTTTCTTGCTTCTCTTAAAGATACAAAAATTAGGATGAGAAAACCAAAAAATCTAGTCATTGGTATTTTAGTTCAGGTGCTTGGTTACATACCATATTTTAATGTCAAATTTCCAAGAAAAGTTATAGTTGTAACCTGAGGATACATTCTAAAAAATATTTCGTATCAGTTACAAAATACTGAATTTCCCCCCTAATACTTTCAAGATTTATTGGTGATTGTATCTAAAAATTTTATGAACAAATTTGTATTATCAGGTTTTGCCAACTCTTGGTGACTCTCTGCTTTTCTCCTATCTATAAAATCAGAACATTCAAAGTTCAAGTGGTTGCCTGAATTTTCTCCTTTCCATAAAGATAAATACATATTTATCACATACACTAAAGATAAATACATAGGTATTTATCACATAAATACACTAAAAGGTATGTCATTATATCCCATTTTATCTATACAATATGTCCTACATCTTGCAGTAATTTTAACCAAATTCTCCCATCATTTTCACTCTCAAGAGTCATATCCATTTTTAGTCTCTTCATATGGCAGCCATCCTCACATTAGTCATCATTTTAATCAACACTCTTACATGAACATTCCTGAGTCCCACTGCATTTATCTTGTTTAAAGTATAACCATAAATATGTAATATCCTACTTCATAAAACACACATTAATGATATTATGGCACTATTAGACCTCAAAAATTGTTGGTGTTTTATGTTCTGTATTATTCTGGATAATGACCTACAATATTGTTGTTCTAAGTTGGTGAGGATGTATGTTTTTTAAGCAAGATTGAGATAAAATCTATATATAATAAACTACAAATACTGAAAGGGTACAACTTGATGAGTTTTGATAGACGTACACACCATGAAATCATTATTACCATGATTAAAGATGCTGAACATTTTCATCACCCCCAAATTTTCCTCAAGTGCCTTTACAATCCTTGCCTTTCTCCTCTCCCATGAGTAGGAAGCACTGGTCTGCATTCTGTCACTATGCTTTGGCTTGTACTTTCTAGAGTTTTATATAAACGAAATAAATATACTATGGAATATATGGGATAAATATACTTTTTTGTGTCTTCTTTCACTCAGCATAATCATTTTAAGTTTATTAATGTTGTTGCATGAGTCAATAATGTGTTCCTTTTTACTGCTTGTAGCATTTCATTATAAAAATAGGCTACATTTTATTATCCCTGTTAATGGGCATTTGGGTATTACTGCTCTGGGGCTATCAAATAAGTTTCATGACCATTCATGTACAAATCCTTGTGAGGATGTACATTTTCATTTATTTGAAGTAAATGCCTAGGAGTATAATGACTGGATCATATGATAGGTTTATGTTTAACATCTTAGGAGCTGCCAACTATATTTCAAAGTAGCTATACTATGTACTTTTCTACCAGCAATGCTAGAGTCTTCCAGTTGCTCTATGTCCTTGTCAATAGTTGGTATTGTGAATCTTAAATTTTAGCCAACTTTACTGGATATGTAATGCCATCTCTCTATGGTGCCATTTGCACTTCCTCAATTACTAGTAATATTGGGCATCTTTTTATAAGATTATTAGTCACATATATCTCTTTTTGAGAAACATCAATTTAATTTTTTTTGCCTAATTTTTATTAGATTTTTATGTCTTCTCATTATGAACTTACAATAGTTTTTATAAATCTGGTTACCTGTCCTTTGCCTGACATACATGGTGTGAACGTTTCCTCCTAGGAAACATTGGCTTGTCGTTTTATTTTCTTGATAGTGTTTGGAGAGCAAACATTTTTAACCATGAACAAGTCCAATCTATCAATTTTCAATTTTTTGTTGTTTTGGGTTTTTTTTTTTATGGCCTATCTAAGAGCATTTTGACTACAAGTTTGGAAAGATTTTGCATCTACATATTGCTCTAGAACTTTTAGAGTTTCATTATACACAAAAACACATACATGTTTATGAATCAGTTCGAATTAATTTTGGCTTACTGTTATATAAAAGTCAGTGTTGTTTTTCCACATGAACACCCAGTTGCTTCAGCATCATTCACCTAGTACATGTCGGGTATCTTGACACTGTTCTCTTTACAAAACACCACAGAATTTCTTTCATCCCTGGATTCTTAAGTACATTGCTCTATGTTTTATTTTGCATGGTAGTTGGCAGATAAATTCATGCTTATTATGTCATTATAGTCTTCTAATAATCTTGTGAGGTAAATATTCTCAGTTTATAGACAAGGAAATTAAGGGGCTAACGAATTTACCAAAGATATCACAGCTCCACACAAACACATATGTGTGCACACATGGGGACAGAGCCAAATCCTCAAACCTAGGTCATTTTAGTACTTCTTGAGTTTCATTTCCCAAGTCAACACTCATTAATGGCAAAGGACACTCGAGAAATATGCCCAAAAGGCCTTGAGACATAGCTGGAAACAATCAGATTTTTTCATCAAAGTTTCATCTTTTGTATTTTAAAAATCATGTGAATTTTGGGGTGCTTGGGTACTTCAGTTGCTTTAGTGTCTGCCTTCGGCTCAGGCATGATCCCGAGGTCCTGGGATCGAGCCCAGCATCGGGCACTTGGCTCAGCAGGGAGTCTGCTTCTCCCTCTCCCTCTCCCTCTTCCCCTTCCCCCTGCTCATTCTCTCTCTCTAATAAATAAAATCTTTAAAAAAAAAATCATGTGAATTTTGCATCTCTTTATACAATGTTTGCCAAACATACCAATATAAAGTTGTATATTGTATATCATCAACTAAAATAAACGTTCCAGGTAAATGCAACTGGTTCTCTATGGTATTATTGCCACCCCTTGTTCCTCCCCCTGGAGTATGCAATCCATTTGCAGATACTCCTGCATCATTGTTATCTGCAGGCTCTTTAGGTTTGCTTAGTGTTGTTAGTGTTATTAACTCCTTTATTTAAGCAGAAGAGAAAACACCTATGTACCAAGGTAAACACAATAATAAAGACAAGAGTCCATTCTTCAATTAGAATAGGCTTTAAACAATTCTGGAAATAAAAGACAATTGTCTAGTGCTCTTTTTTATTGCTATTTAATCAAATAGGATATATGAGGAGACATTCTGGGAGACAGAGTTTTCTAGAGACTGCAAAGTTGGGACCACTTTCCTTGGGGTGCAAACCCAGGAGACATGAGCTTTCCAAATTATGTTCAAATGCAATAATATTTTCTTTTTCCTGAGAGTATACGATTCTTGTTTTAGAAGATACCCTTTCCCTTGAAGCCAGACCTATATCTGGATTTAACATCAATCATAGAGGGTTTTATTTTCTTCTGCTCTCCTGGAAAGTAGGCAGCTAACATCTTTCAAGACTTGAGAGAGATTATTTTTCTTCTTTATATAGGAGAGTTGTCTGGTCAAGATTTACCCACAAGAAAGAGACAATCCCAGATTTTATTATCTATATGAATTTAGTGTAGCAATTGATAACACTCCGCTCTTTCTGTTGCAGGTGCCGGAGAATCTGGAAAAAGTACGATCGTTAAACAAATGAAGTAGGTATACACTATTTTACATGTTTGATATTTGAAGTCTGTCTGTGTACTCGACCAGTCTGAAAAGAAATACTTTGGGAAAATCTGACTGATGGTCTATCCATGCAGGTGGTGGCAGAGCTAGCTCAATTCCCGTGCAAGCCTCCCTCCTATCCTTTAGCAGGGAGTGTAACTTGTGTGTGGTATTGGAATTTCCATTTTTCTTTTAAATTTTGCCTCTCAACAAGATGAATACTCAAAGCAGTCATGTTTTAAATATATTAATCTGGGCCTAATCTAGGGCTTCAGTATTGTGGGCAGAAGCCATAAACATTTCAAAATATGTCCATCGATGACCCAATTGAATTTAAGAGGAAATGGTATTTTTAATTGGCATTTTGCCTACCTGGGAATAAAGTGCTTATTTATAGTTATTACTATCGTGGATTTCAATTATTTTTGCACCTCTTTTCTCTACTTTTTAAAAATCTTTTTATAATGAAAAAACTAGACGTGGATTCCTTAATGAGACAACAAACACAAAAGTGCTAAAATTCAAGAATATAATGTCTAAATGAATAAAATTTCAATTGGTAAGTGGAGGTGATTATGTAAAACCTCATGGCTCTGTCACTGCTGGAGAATTTTCAAGGACAACTATTGCTATGGGAGAAGAAGATCATCTTTTTTTTTTTGGCTAATTTTTCGTTCTATGTTGGAGGATCTTGTTCTTTGGAATATGTCACATGATGACATCATCCCGGTCAATGATGTGATTGTCTGTTTAGAATCTAAATCACTGGTCTTCTCTTTCTTTTCAAATAATCATGTCATGTAAGTTCCATACAAACAATTATTTAAGTCCCACTTTTGGAATTTCCTGACAGGTGTACTTGCAACCAAATTTTGTTCCTTTTCTTCTGTCTTTGAAGAACAGGACACTCCTTTCTCCTGATCATTGCTCAGACCGCTTTTGGGTTCTTGGCTCCATCCATGCACCCAAATCATCTCACACCCCCCATCACACTTCCACTGTGTTCACCTGTTCTTTTCTTTCTGGTTCTAATCATGCTCGAATCCCTATCCTTTTTACCTCTTCATTCTCTATGAAGTTAAATGCAGTAAAACAAGACATAACCAATTATTTGGCTATTTAAAAATTAAAACTTTTAAATATATTAAACCATAAATAAGTTTTAAAAAAGAAAAGAAAAAATCTATAATGAATATGATTTATAATTGACTATCATAATATAAACAGTCATATAGACTGGTAAGAAAAATTAGCTGCCCAATATATATAAACGGAAAGAGACTATGAACAGACAATTCACACAAGACAAAATTCAAATATCTATTTAAAGCAATAATGAGCTATGCTTTATCTTAGCAGATTAGCAAACAATTTTAAATAATATTACCCAATAAAGGTGAGGTTTTGAGAAGTTAATATTTTTCATTACTACCAATAAAATAATTTGTTACAGCAAATTTATAGAAATAATTTTTGCAATCTACATAGGAAACTGGGAAAATAATAATTATTGATCTAAATATATGTCTGAGAATTTTAGTAAAATAATTTAAATTTGAAAAAGCACAAAAATAAAATAATGTAAACAAGAAAATATGAACATTAATGCCCCAAGAGATTTAGATTCATCTTATTTAAAATAATTAAATATGAGATAGAATAAAGTACCTTAAATCAAAATAAAACACAAGGAAATAGATTGCAAAAGTATGGAACAATTCACCTTTCAATTGCAATATTTTGCATCCATTACAAGTTATAAGTATATGAGAAAGCTTTAATAACAGAAAATACTTATGCTAGTTAAAAAAACTAAGATCCAAAATTGCATAAACATCTTTACCTCAACTATGACAAAATAGTTTTTCAAAAGGGAAGAATATAGGCCAATGTTCAATGATATTTATTTCTCAATACCGGGATTTAAAGTTACATTGCACCTTCATTTTGAATACTGCTGGACTTTTCACATTTTCTACAATGAGCAAGTATTGCTTTTGTTAGTAACAAAGACTCTCCTCATTCTACCTCCTCCTTCCTTTTCTCAGTAGACTCTACGAAGAATCATTGCCATTAGGTCTCTTCACTCTTCCACCTTTCATTTTCTCTTAAACCATTTCCATCACTCCCGCCTCTGGCATGCCACATCAGTTGCCCTTATAAACATCAGTATTATCTCCTAATTGCCATTTTGTCTGAAATGCTCATGAGTTCCTATTTTATTTTTTTAAGATTTTATTTATTTATGTGACACAGCGAGACACAGCGAGAGAGGGAACATAAGCAGGGGGAGTAGGAGAGGGAGAAGCAGGCTCCCCACTGAGCAGGGAGCCCAACGAGGGGCTCGATCCCAGGACCCTGGGATCATGACCTGAGCCGAAGGCAGACGCTTAACGACTGAGCCACCCAGGCACCCCATCATGAGTTCCCTTTTTTTTTTTTAATTTTATTTTATTATGTTATGTTAATCACCATACATTACATCATTAGGTTTTGAAGTAGTGTTCCATGATTCATTGTTTGTGTATAACACCCGGTGCCTATTTTAATTCCATTCAATTCCACTGGGCTTTTCTCTTCTAAAACTTCACCCTGGCTTTTGAAGAACTCTTCCCTAGTTTACTTCCTAATTGCCTGCTTTACTCTCAGATTCTCTGACCACATCCTAACTGCTGGTGTATCTAATGCACTTGGCCTCCTTCTCTGCTTACTTTATACCTTCAAATGAAAACTGCTAAGGTACAATGATTTTTACTCTCATCTTCAAGTGGACTGTCTCAGGATATTTCTTTCAATTCACTTTGTCTAAACTAGGGAAGCAGGTACCTCCTGCTTCCTCCATATTCTATGGATAGGTCCAAATCAGAACAAACAACAGTAAGTTATCTCCCCATCTGGCCTCCTTGTCCCTACAATGAATTAAATAGCAGCACAGGCCTCTAAAGCAATTAATCTGAGTGTAGATAGGTTGACATTCACTTTCTAAGTTTTGCCACATCTACACAACTCTTGTCTTCAAGGCTGTCATTTAACCCCATTGTTGCTGCCTTAGCTTAAAACCCCTGCATTTCTGAACTGGATTAATACAATATCCTGCAAAGCACTTTTCCCCTCCCTCCTCTTTCTTCCACTGCAATATCCACACCAACACCAACCGATTTCTTTAAAAAGAAAACTGCATCTCTTTCCCGAATTGTACTCTTCATGAACTATCAAGAACAGACTCCTTGAAGGATACATAAGATACTTTAGAATCCAGCTCTTAGCTGTCTCTTCATTCTAATGTCCCATGACTTCCCCCTTCCTGCTTTCTATCCCGGAAGTGCTGAACTCACATAGTTCCGCGGACTACAGAAGGCAGTACAGTTTAGCAGCTAAGATCACGGGCTCCCAAACCAGACTGCATTCGTTGCCCAACTGTACCATGTACTGTATAAGTTAGGGGTAGTTCCTTCATTTATCTGTGCCTACATTACTTTCCTGTAAAATGTAGGTAACAATTTTACCTTCTTTAAAGGACTTATTGCAAGAAATGAGAAGACGTATAAAGGACTTAACACAATGCTTTGCACACACTGAGAGCTTGATGATGGTAACCATCTATGTGGTCATACTAATCCTTCTGCCTAGAATGTTCTTCCTTTTCACTATCTGGAAATAACGACTTCTCCTTGAAAACTCAACTGATCATCACTGCTCCCAGGCAGTCTCCTGTGATCCCTTACACCTACTCCCAATAAAGTTTATCACTTTTTCTTTTCTAGTTTATGGTACCACATGCAGACATTGTGGTTATATACTATCACTGCATAAAAATGGATTTTATGCGCTACCTTTCTATAATCTAGTACTGTCCAATAGAATGTTCCGTGATGACAGGAAGATTCTCTGTCTGTGCTCTCCAATATGGCAGCTCCTAGTCATATGTGGCCATTAAGCATTTGAAATGTGGCTAGTGTGAATGAGGAATTATTTTAATTTTAATTAACATCTAGTGGCTACTGTATTGGACAGTGGAACTCCAGTCTATAGGTTTTTGGGGAGAAGAGAAAGTATAATTCATTCTTTTCAGCACATAATGCAGTATGTTACAGAAAATGCCCAGTAAAAGCTCATTAACTGGAACAGATTTAGGAATCAACTTGCAAGTAGAAAGCTCTATCTCACAGAAATGGATTTACGCAGTTCCTAGAAAAACAACGTTGCTTAAAGTCCCACTATGGCTGGATTTTTTAAAGTCTGCTCTTGCCATTTTGCTTTGTGATGTTTCCTTATCCTATGATAAAAAGATAGGAATCAGAACTTGTTCCAGTTAGAAAACCTAAATGCCCCCAAGTTTAGTGGTAACTGCCATTTTAATTTAGTAATTAAAATAACTTTCCAATTTCAGTTTTTGAGGAAGAACTGAGATTTAATGAACTTATTCTTGATCTATCCACAAAGACATTTTACTGCATTTTTCTACAACCTTTAGTTGCCTACTTTATTTACTTATTAAAGTTATGTGTTTAATATAGCAAGATAAACATGGCCACGCTTAAAATAGAAATACAGCAAGAAATAGAAATTGGCAAGCAAATGGCAAAAAGAGTCAATAATGGATATAGGGGCTACCTCTATTTTCACTGCAGAAATTCTTGTATTTGGGTTTTAGGGGGAAGGGGGTGGGGAGGATAGGTTAGCCCAGTGATGGCTACTAAGGAGGGTATATACTGCATGGAGCACGGTGTTATACGCAAACAATGAATCATGGAACACTACATCAAACACTAATGATGTACTGTATGGTGACTACCATAACATAATTAAAAAAAAGTTTTAATATCTTGGGGGGCATTTGTATTCTTTTTCCCCTATGCTAAAGCTTCTCTGTGTATAGATAAAACACAAACCCTTCAGAATATGACTTCCAAAATGATGCCTAATGTACACAAAGAACTTCAAAAACAACAACAGCAAAAAGGAGCAATAACATATTATACAATAAAGAAGCAATAAAGTAATTAGCATATGCAGAGATTTTAGCTTTTGAAGGTAAACCTATTTCAATCTAACATTCCTAAACCATAAAACTTTGAGTTTCGATTGAGTGAATGGAAGGAAAAGAAGAGTTCAGCCAAATAAAGTGAGCCTTTCAACTTTGAGAACTAGTGGCACAAACACAGATGGAAAAGTAGCAAGGGATTTAATAGCATTTAAGAGGTAATTACCTACATTAAAAAAAAAAAAAGATGCCGTTGTTAATGGTATAAATAGAAAGCAGTCACTCCTATTTTCCAGTGTGTCTTAAGTGATAGGAAAAGGATTGAATGTTCTACTATATTACTTTGCTTCCTCTAGACATCGCGTTATAAAGACCAGTTTCAGAACTCCGTATGTATCTTTGTCCTGGGAAACTGGAAATTTGTTTTTTGAAAATAATAAGCTTTCTAAGTAAAATTCTCATGATTTACTCATTTTAAATACTGGTTTACTTTGGACAAATTCTAAGTCCTCTTTATATTTTGCACAAGGAGCTCACAAAGAAAATATTGTATTAAGTCCCAATGATAATAATAAAAGTCCAAAGCCATGTAATTGTTCAGATTTAACATATACATATGGACAATATTTTTTGTAACAAATAAATACTGGAATTTTAGTCAAGCAAATTATTGTTGATGTGTTTTAATATTATTTTAAAAAAATTGCTCAACTCACAAAAGCTTTTCATGTTTAAATTATAGGATCATCCATAAGAATGGTTACAGTGAGCAAGAATGCATGGAGTTCAAAGCAGTAATATACAGTAATACATTGCAATCCATCCTAGCTATTGTGAAAGCCATGACTACCCTTGGGATTGATTATGTAAATCCCACAAGTGCAGTAAGTATGCAAATAATGACAGTTGTAGTCCTACAATGGGAGTTTGAGCCGTAAAACAGAACTAAATTTGTAGTACTAATCTACACCAAAAATTTAAGAATATAAAATATGAATTTGGGGAACTTTAATTCTGTTTAGTGTAAGATATCCTTTTCTTCTTCAAATGAAACTTTGTGTGCCATAATATTATTCAGCATTTTTTCCTAGGAATCAAACCTAGTATCAAATAATATACTGTATTAGAGTAAAATATTGATGTTTACTAAATACAGAAGAGTTCATCCCATAAAATCAAACTGCAATAGCTCTACTTTTATTTTCTTAGTTTAATTATGAGTCATTTCATAGAGTGATTATATTTATAACATTAGAGTAATAGTAATAATATTCTAATTATCATTATTGTTCAACAATAATTATAAGACAATGTTGGGCAGGGAAATGATTATTTTATAGTGGTAATTTTTTAAAAAAGAATTCAAAATTGTGTGACTAAGTAAGATTTTTGTATAATAAATATACTCAAGTAGTCAGAGTTATGTTCACAAGGTAGCATCTAAACGGTTCCATTTCATTCTATTTTATATTCTGTAATATAATTATTTTATGTTAAAATACATTAAAAACCCACTTAGTTTCAAACAGTTTATGTGCAAGCGTATAGAACTATTTTAGTTGGCAACTGAAACATATAGCGTTCTCCAAAGAACAATAGTTAACCACACGCAAAAAAAGGAGTAAGAGTGTACAATCAACAGGAAAACACTCATTTCCATTTTTCCTGTCCTGGAGCAGCTGGGTGCCCCCAGATGATATCAACTGAACTGCTCCCAGTGTAACTTAGATACCTGGTACACTAACAATAAGAAAGAGAGGATCAGCATGTTAAGTATAGAGAAGAATATGACCCTTGTACTTTCCTCTTCCTACCCCTCCAGGAGTTTAGGGTTAGACCATGTAAATTACCACTGGACACCATTAGGATAAAAAGAAAAATACCTCTTTCGTGCTGTTAATTTTAAAGGAAATGGTAAACCCTCATCTTGTTCCGCCGTTTTCCAACAAAGAGCACAAAAATTCTAAGTATGTTCTTAGGGCAGATCCTTTGTAAAGCAGAGTCAGGAATTCGGCTAGACTCCTCTTCCATTTTTAGTTTTCCTCAAAGTGGGCTCCAGTAAGTCATCTCCTTCTTTAGGTTACAGTTTCCCACTCACGTGTAAGATGGGAACTTACAAGAGCTCAACTCCAATATCCTTGCATTCTTTACCATTCCATGACTTGGTGATCCCCTTTTTATTTAAGGGTAGTTTGGTTATCCCTCTGACCTTGGCTGTTCCTAAGGATCTGAGACTTTAAATTGGCCCTTCAGAAACAGCCTGGTATAAGCCTCATATTTATAGATGTGAAAAATAAAGGCCAAAGAGGATTGGCAAGGTGGCTTGCATTGCATAGCCAGTGTTTTGGCAAAACCCACTTCTGGCTTCCACTAGAGTGCTTTTCCCAATGAAGGGATTTTTGTAAAAATACTTTGAATGACCAGGAATGATTGCTAATCCTCCACTGATTAACATCTGAATGATCTGGCATGCAGGTGGAGTGAAAATAATATAGACTCTGTAGATTGCTGCCATTATGCTGACAAAAAATTAAGATAAATGCAATTTATTCAAACTGTACATTAAATGGTAAAAGAGTAATTTATGCAGCACTGAAGGACTAACACGACTTCTCAGGAGGACCTAGGCCCTTAAGTGTCAAACATCAGTTGGCAGGGTACCGTGTAACTCAAATTTTGATTTCAGTTGTTGAAAACTATAGTAATTTCAGTGACCTTCTTTAGTATTTGATTTTAAGATTAATGTACTCAATACCTGGCTTGAACTGTTTCTTTAACAGATTAATTGCTAAACATCTATGTGTGTGTACTCTGAAAGTAGTTTTCTATAGCTTTCAATTTAGCTATTTATATAATTTATATATTTTTACACTATAGCCCTAAAGGAAAATGTCCATAAGCTTTATTGGTTACTGGTTCTGTAAATTTGGATGAGTTACTTAATCTCTCTACATTTGGGTTTCTTTATCCACGAAACTTTAGTGCTTTTTTCACTAAGTTTCAAGGACTATTACAGAAGCAAACAGAAATATAGGAAATCCACTTAAAAACAAAACAGCTTCTTTGGAGCTATTTGAAAAATGTGAGAAGTTGGGGCACGTGGGTGGCTCAGTCAGTTAAGCGTCTGCCTTCGGCTCAGGTCATGATTCTAGTAAATATTGAGTATTTATTTTCCAATAATCACTCCGAATGTAAGCTCATTAACATTTATGTACTAAAATCTACACATCTAATATCATTTGAAAAAATTATATTAAACTATGATTTATATGGCAGACACCTGACTGGACACTGGGGATACACTGAGGGATCAGCAGTAAATAAAACAGAAACAGTATCTGCTCTCAAGAGAGGGAAGTCTGAAGCTGAACAAGTAATTACAAAGCATCAGCTATTTCAAAAGTGTAGCACAGCTGGGATGGGGAGCCAAATCCTCATTTATGGAAAGAATTACTGAAAAAAGGAAATGCTATCACCAGTGGGGATAGGACAGAACTAGTACATTTCTTTTAAGAAGTGGTGTGTTTGTGAGCTCTGTAACATGTCCACACGTGTAAGTGGTTGAAAATGTGCATGGGAAATTACTGGAGCTTTTAAAATATAAGAGTAAGATTATCAGTAGAAATCAGTTTTCCATCACTTTGGCTATTTATGTAGAAGACGTCTTTTCATAATACTGGTTGATTTTGGTATTATATATTTTAAAAATTCAAATATGATTGGGGGGCCCAACTCCTTAAACACATGAATTTTGATTCTTTAAATTACCATGTCAGCCCTTTTTTTAATTCACAAATTAAAATACCATATGTCCAATAAGATATTATTTATGGTTAAACAAAACTGTATATTGTCAGGGATTCTCAACTCAGGCTGCGCATTTGAGCCACCTGCAAGATTTTCAAAATTACCTTTGTAGAATCTGACATCCAGAGGTTCTGCCTCATTTTGTTTGAGTTGAGGTCCTGGTATCAGTATTTTTT